TCCATCCATTATCCATCCACCCATCTGTCCGTCTATCCATCCATCCATTATCCATCCACCCATCTGTCCGTCTATCCATCCACCCACCCATCTGTCCGTCCATCCATCCACCCACCCATCCATCCACCCATCTGTCCGTCTGTCCATCCATCCATCCATCCATCCATCCATCATCCATCCACCCATCTGTCCGTCTGTCCATCCATCCATCCATCCATCCATCCATCCATCCATCCATCATCCATCCACCCATCTGTCCGTCTGTCCATCCATCCATCCATCCATCCATCCATCCATCCATCCATCCATCCATCCATCCACCCATCTGTCCGTCTGTCCATCCATCCATCCATCCATCCATCATCCATCCACCCATCTGTCCGTCTGTCCATCCATCCATCCATCCATCCATCCATCCATCCATCATCCATCCACCCATCTGTCCGTCTGTCCATCCATCCATCCATCCATCCATCCACCCATCCATCCATTATCCATCCACCCATCTGTCCGTCTATCCATCCACCCACCCATCTGTCCGTCCATCCATCCACCCACCCATCCATCCACCCATCTGTCCGTCTGTCCATCCATCCATCCATCCATCCATCATCCATCCACCCATCTGTCCGTCTGTCCATCCATCCATCCATCATCCATCCACCCATCTGTCTGTCCATCCATCCATCCGTCCATCCATTATCCATCCGTTATCCATCCACCCATCCACCCATCCATCCATCCATCCATCCAATGTTCTCTGCTTATTCTGAGTCAGGTCGTGGGGGCAGCAGCCTAAGAAGGGAGGCCCAGACTTCCCTCTCCCCAGCCACTTGGGCCAGCTCCTCCGGGGAATCCCAAAGCCTTCCCTGGCCGGGTGAGAGACATAGTCCCTCCACCGTGTCCTGGGTCTACCTTTAGGTCTCCTCCCAGTTGGACGTGCCCGTAAAACCTCACCAGGGAGGCATCCATCCTAACCAGAGACCCGAGCCACCTCAACTGGCTCCTCTCTACTCCGAGCCCCTCCTCGGATGACCGTGCTCACCCTATCTCTAAGGGAGAGCCCAGCCGTGCTGCGGAGAAAACTCATTTTGGCCGTTCATATCCGCGATCTCGTTACTTTGGTCACTACCCAAAGCTCATGACCATAGGTGAGGGTAGGAACGTAGATCGACCGGTAAAGCTCGAGCTTCTCCTTCAGCTCTCTCTTCACCACGACAGATCGGTCCAACGCCCACATCGCTGCAGACGCAGCACCAATCCGCCTGTCGATCTCACGCTCCATCTTTCCTTCACTCGTGAACAAGAGACACGTGATAACGTGCAAAAAAGCTGAAATAATTATATTAAAATGTTTAATATTCTTCTTCCACCTTGTTGGTTTGATTTTCAGATTTTCAGCTCAGGATTGAGTTCGATCTAAAGAATCCTTCAGCATCGAATCGGTCAGGGCTTTTCTCATTTCTGTCTGTCAAAATAAAAGTTTCTTTGTGTAAAAATAAACTCAGAGTCTCCACGTGTCGCCAGGTTTCATCAACGGTCTTCTGGAGTCGACTGTCAACATTTCACGACTCGGGTTTTTCATCTAAACCATCTGGAAACCCACAGGAGCGTTTCACGGCGCAACTCACAAGCGTCTCCACGCGTTACAGGAGCAAACTCTCCTTTTCTCACCAGCACAACGACGTTTTAGCGCAACGCCAACCTGACTTCAGCTTTTCTGCTGTTAGCGAACAAATCTGCACAAGCAGAAATTCCTGAGCAGGAGGCTGCACGCTCAGAAACACCAACGAGCGCTCGGTCACCCGTCGACTCCAGGAGCTACGAGTCCCCGAGCAAATACCCACTGGATTCCTGAGCATCTTGCGGCCTGGGAAAATTGTTGAGCAAACAAGTGAGAGGTGGGAAATCCAGGTATGCCCTTCATTTGAACATCTTAGGTGTGTTCTTGCTGTGTTGCGTCTCTAATTCCGTGCTGCAGTTCTGTTTTAAAACCCAGAGCAGTTTTGTTTACCTGTTTTCCCGCTACGTTTCGTTTGCAGCAAACGAAACGTAGCGGGAAAACAGGTAAACAAAACTGCTCTGTCTTTTAAAACAGAACTACAGCATGGCATGCCCTTCATTTGCTTATTTTTGGATCAGTGGCGTGTCCAGATCTTTTAAAATGGGGTGGCCCAGGTGAGGCACAGCTTTGTGCATGGGTGGCACCAATGGTTATGCTTTTTTTTGTTTTACCCCCAAGCCTTTTGTGGACAATGAAAAGCCTATTTAAAAGTAAATTAGTGTGGTGGCACCTGGGGTGGCCAATCAGATTCCAAGGGTGGCATGTGCTACCCCAGGCCACTCCCTGGACACGCCCCTGCTTTGGATTGTTCTACAAGTTTGTTCTGCAGGACAATCAAGCTGCACCTTCTCAGATCTTTATGCTGAGCTTTTTGACACAATAAACATAAACCCGAGCAAAAAAGATGTTTTACTTCCACGCTGCACGTGAGGAAACGTGTGGAGCAACTACTGATCAAACCCGAGGGTCATTCAAATACTTCCAAATGAGGAAAATGAGTGGAGTGAGGCTCGTCGTTGCAGAAACTTTCAGAAAAGTCAGAAGTCAGAGGTCTGCTTGTTATTTTCAACTTCCCAGATTTAGTGTCTTAGGGCTTTTACTCTCCGCTGCATGGAGGGTCAAAAATTCCCTCTTTCTGTATCTCATTATGAAGGCATGAAAAAGGAACACGCAACGCTTGCAACAGATGTCAAGTGACACTTTGTTTGAAAGACTCAGAGGTAATCCTTGAACTTGATTTTAACATTTTGCTGGACAGCGTTCCCGACGTTCCCAGCTGAGGCTTCAGAGAGGAGTCAATAAGTCTCTTAAGCTGCATGCGGACACTTGCAACCAAAAGTAAGAGATTGTTCCTCTTCACGGAGTTTCTGGTATAAAAAAAGCTTTGCATGCTGGAGGATGAAGTGCAGAGGCCGAGGAAAGTGGAGATTTCCAACTTCAGTCGCATTTTCTGATGCGTAATTTAATCCCGCTTTTAAATCTGTAAGACAGAAAAGTTTGGAGGAACGACAAACTCTAATCTCAGACACCTCGTGAGGATTCCTGCAAACAGGTTCTAAAGAACCTCCAGGAATTCTACTTTACCAGATTATTCCCGCAAAAATATAATAAATCCTGCGTTACAAATACAGATCGTCAGGGGCTGAAAACAGCACGGACAACCCAAATCTGTGTGACTAAAGGTAGTCGGGATGACTAAAATCTCTGGAGCTCCTGTTTTTGGAACTAGAAGTGAGCCAGGTCATAGATGAGCTTCAGACGGCAGGATCTGAGTCTTATTTCCTGAAATTTGGACATCTCTCCTCTGATTGGCTAACAGCAACACGACTCTACCACTGACTCTGTCTGCTCTGCATCGTTGATGTTTCATCTCCACAAATAACACAAGCCTGGAGGAGTATTGCCGTGTGGTGGAGTTGCTAATGCTAACGGTTAGCTTCTACTAGCAGGGACGTTCTCTGCAGTTTCCTGGACGCTAAACCAACAACAGCCTTCCCCGTCGTGAGTCCAGATGGGTGAGTCCATGAATGTTAGTGACAGGGTGACGTAGATCTGTCAGGATTTTCTATCCTAGAGTTTCACCGTCTGTTTTCTATCAGAAGCTAACGCTAATGCTAGGTGAAGGAGACTATTTTCACGTTCAATCTGCATGAAACACTCAAGAGTGGCCATTTAAAATGGGTTTTCAGTGAAATCTAATTTTAAGAGTATACACCTGATGAAGTGGGGAAACAGATTCGTTCCAGAGTCCTAAAATTATCTGTGAGCCTCCAAAAGAAAGAAAGGCCGTTTTTAGGTCATCAGCTGTTATGATTTACATGAAATCTGGTGTACGAGGGAGCCTTTTACCGATGTTATAAACAAATCAGCTTTCCGCTAAATTCAGTTGGGTGAATGTAAACCTGTAGGAGAACTGACGCACTGTTAAAAACCAACATGGACGTAATTTGGGGGGGGGGGGGGGGGGGGATGGGGGGACGTGCCCCCCCCCCCCCCCCCACTTTTTCCAAGGTCAAGTTTTGACCCCTGCACTTTTTACCATCCAAACACATATTAAGCCATATTAAATTGACACTGGTTGAGCTCTAGGACCAAGCAGAAAACAACCGTTTGTGTTGAAGCCCGTTTCCCATTGGAGCATACTGTAAAGATCCCCCCCCCCCCCCCCACACACACACACACACACTTCTAAAGTGAAAATTACATCCATGTCTGGGAATGTAAAGGTGTAGGGGAGATTATGCCAGACCAATGATGTGTTTCATGTTTTTACAGGAACAAACATCCGTCCAGCAGCGGACTGAAGGCAGAGTGTGTCGGCAGTCCATTTGAGCATTTTCCTTCACAATAGAAGAAGAATGGCGACGTCGGCTTTAGAAATGTTTATGTGAAGGTCAGAATCAAAGCAGCGTCACGGCAACAAGCATCAGCGGTGACAAACATGTCATCAGAAGAGATCATAGAGCATGAAATAGGAGCATTTGCCCCATTATCCGGGAAATTGCCTCCCTGGCTTCACAAGACGTTCAACACCACAGCTTATATAAATGGAAATACATTTACAGCGTTTTCAGACGTAACTTCTAATTTTAAGACACCACCTTCTGTCAAAACGGAGTTTCAGCTCCGTGTTGACACCAAATAACTTCGTTAAGGTCGACGGATCGGCGATGATGCTCGAGTCTAATAAAAGCAGGAGTCCTTTGGGTATCAGAGTCTTATCGCGCTGTGGTTGCCCGTAGATAAAAACTGGCTCGATAGTCCAGGTTACTCACATTACAACGGCCTCTTCCACCACAAGGTCACGTCAGTCCCTGTAGCCTCCTTATCTCCACACCAGAACACAGCTCACCAATCATGCCGCGGCTCGTCACCTCCGCTTGTGGTCACGTCGGGAAAATCAATGCATTTTTCATACAGAAGACTCGGATGAGGCTTTTGTTGCAATCGTCTTTATTTGTTGTCCTGCCACAGCAAACGGCTCAGATTGCAGTCGCTCTTCACAGAAGACGTTCCCATTTTCACTAAAATGTGAAAAACACAAAAATGTAGAAAAACTAAATCCTACCCTCACGTGAAAGCAGCGTCACGCATCAGCGAAGCTAAACCAGTAAACGTCCCACCAAACAAGGCTTTTCTGGTGTTTTGGGAGTTTTACACAAAACAAGAAAGCTGGAGTGATTTTCAGCTTTTTGACGGCCACGTTTTTGGAAAGTAGAAATATTTTAAGTGCTAAAAATTATAATTTTTTTAAAGCAAGACAAAACTTTGATTCTTTCTTATTTTTTCTGCACAACCTGTTCCAATAAAAGGGGAAAACAACATTATAAATACATAAAGATTTCATAGTTAAAGGAAAATACACAACAGGATTGGTTTCATTATAAAACTACAGGAAGTGATTCATTAGGATCTTTGAGATTTTACAGTTAAAAATCATCAATTCAACTTATAACAAAAACACTTTATTTTACCCTGATTTGGTTTCCCGTTTATAAACAACAGAAACTTTGATTTTTCTTTTGCAGTTTAGTAAAACTGATGAGTTGTTGCTGCCATGTTTGATTTTTTTGCTAAATAAAAGCACAAATCTTGCGTAAATAATGAACAGAAACAAAAATGGTGCACATCGACACCGACAGCTGAATCCGCTCTTCATTTACCCGCAATGCCCTCTGGTCCTGAATACGTTTGAAAGGAGGGGCTTAGGGAGTGCAAAAGTAGAAAACGAGGTTGAAAGTCAGAGTGGGCCAACCCCCGGGTCCCGAACCAGACCTGGACCTGCTGGGTTAATGTCCGAACCAGTTTAGCTGCAGTGAAACCAGTTTGATCCCAGCAGGGGGCGCAGCAGCCCAGTCAGCGGCACTGCTCTGCAACAGCGCTCATGTCTTCACAAGAACTAATTAGTCCCAAAAGTCTTTCATCTTGATTTGATGCAAATGAGAACATTTTCTGTTCTGGATTAAAGCCGTCGGCCGGCTGGCTGACTTCCAACCTGAGCCGCTCCCTACGGTAGTTTGATTTGGCCTGGAGAAAGTCCCTCATAAAAGAAACGGATCAACAGAAGTAAAGAAAACAACCCAAAAACATTAAAACAACAAGAAAAATGATTCAGAAACTCTTATTGTTCTTCTGGCGTCAGATACAGACGGCGAGTCTCGGCTGTGCTCGTAAAACGTCGACCTTTAACCCAGAAGAGAAGTCGTGTCCCTGAGTCAGAAAGCTGGTCAACGACCACGAGGCAGCAGCTTGGTGTGGTGTGGCTTTTGTCCTCCCAACATCTGAATGACTCCTCCCACAGAGAACGATGAGGACGGACGGATCTGTCAGGTAATCAGCGAGAGGAGGATGAAGAGGACGAGTGGAAGGGAAGCTGTCCTCGGTGAGGAAGCGCTACGTAGGCGGTGTGTTCCTGAAACACCAACGATAAAAGAGTCGTATAAAAATGTACGTCTGACATGGAAACACGACATAAACCTCTTTCTTTTGACTCGGGAGCGAGATCTGTTCTAAAACAAGTAAAGAGGAAAAGTTTGGAGTAGGGTCAAAGGTCGCTTTTAGGAGAGCAGCCTCCATCCTTCCACTAATGACCAGTCAGATCAGATTGGGTCTAAATTGTATTAAACGAACAACAAAGTCAAAGAAATGTTAATAAGCAACATGGATTTCCACTCAATTTGCAGACTGACACAAAGTTTTGCAAAAAGCCCACAAACATAAAAGTTGGATCTCACCTTGTTTGGGATTTGGATCTTCTGCTTCTGCAAAAGGCCAGAAAGGGAGACATTTAAATAAAGTTCAGGCAAAGACTGCTGATTGGTCCTTTTTGCATGCTTAACTTTCTCAATAAAGTTGCTGCTTGGTGAAACAAAAAGGAACAGATATTAGACCAAGGAAAGGCTTTTACCATTACTCAGAGATGAGTTCTGGCTGGCTGTGCGACCCTAAATATGTCCCCCATGCAAATCCTCTTAAAGGTCGGACAACCAAGACAGAAAAAGTAGCTCTGAAAGCACGGCGACAGGAAAAGATGGCGTTATGTAAATAAGAATGATGGAGATTCTACAGAAGAGCTCCAGGAAATGAAAAAGAGGCGGAAAAATACAAGAAAACTGGAAATGACAAGGCGAAACCAACACGTGACTGAAGATGAAAGGAAGTCTCGAGTGAGAAAGTTCAGTGAAGAGGAGGAAAAAAGGTTGGAAAAGAGGTCGGATGAAGAAAAGGGAGGGAAAAGACGGGGTTAGGAGGGGGCGTTCGGGGGTAGGGGGTGGTGTGGGGTTGGAATAATGGAGGGATGGTTTAATGGAAGAGGCTCAAACCTCTCAGAGGAGGGAAGAGGTTCCAGTGGGCCAGGACAAAAAGGGTCCAAGCACAAGGACGAGTCGGCACAACTGGTCATTAAATCAGCCCGCGGCTTTGAACCAACAACCCTACTACCCACGAGTCCAACGCAAACATTCGCTTCCACGGAAACGAGATCGATGAGGTCAGAAACACTCCGTCTGATACGTCGTCGTCCTCCGAGCTGCTGAACATGACACCAAGTTACTCTCAGGTTGTGATCAGCTAACAACCATCCAGGGGTTAACGAAGCGTTAAATAGCATCCCGTAGACTAGCAGAGTGTGTGTGTGTGTGTGTGTGTGTGCTCTCTGCACTTTCAGGCAGATACTAAAACAAATAAACGAGAAAAACAGCAAAAAAACAAACAATAAAATGTTCACGAAGACAGAAAATTTCAGATAAAATTTTTTAAATTACTAAACTGAAAAATATTTGAAAATCTTCCGTAAAACCGTTTGGTTCACGAAAGCTTCTCTAGTAAATATGTGCATGTTATAAATTAGTCATTTTCTAAATAAACTAATTTAATTTACGTTATTTTAAAATAAAAAATCTGAAAATAATCTTACAATTTTGTGAATATTTGATGAAATTTAATAAAAAAATTAAACTAAACGCATAAATTCCAATCAACATTTATTCAAAGTGCCGTAAAAAAACAAATTCCCGTAAATTTAAACCGCTTCCAAATTGGAAGGGAACATTCGCAGCTATGGAATGCCGTGTGTTTGCTCGGCTGTGTGTGACTGGTGTGTTTTGATCCGGCTGTAATCACGTCATTCAGGCCAAATTCCCAACGTTGACGGCGCTCGTTTTTTGTTAACATCATCATCATCATGTTGTCCGTGGCGAGCGCTCCCACAAAATGGTGTCCACGAGGGCGTGGCTGCAAAGAAGCATGCCCTCACCGCAGTGCAGTGCAGTCAGAGGCATGCTGCATGTGTGGCTGCACGTGCACAACCGTGGCGGTACGTGCACGTGTGTGGGTGTATGCAGAACGCTCCACTGCAGAGACAGAAAAGGGTCCACCATCCCACCTCTCCTCGCGTGCCGCCATTTTACAGAGAAGTGGAGCTAACGGTAATCAGCTCTGCTAGCAAAGACGAAGTCAACAAAAGTAGCAGAAAGAAAAAGAAAAAAAAAATGGCTGCAAACTTTACGTAGAAACCGATGGAAAAAAAAAACGGTGAAAGCGAAATTTAGAATTTTGAGATGGAAACCCGAAGAAGTTGGTGTGAGAACGTCCGTTTGAGTTTCGTCCTTTTAGGTGACGAGTTGAAGGGTACAAAGGTTTTCTGGGGTGAGGGGGTGGGGGGGTGGGGGGGGGGTGGGGGGGTGGGGGGTGGAAGAAAAAAAGAGAAAGAAAGCGAAGAAAATGTGCAAACTGAAATAAATGTAATGGACTGCTCACAGCAGGACGATGACTGTAAGAAGGGAAGTGAGACGGAGAGGAAAGGGGAATCAATTAGGGAGGGATGGAAGTTGGTCGGTAATGGTTTCTCACAGTGGGACGACTAAAAAAGGAGAGAGAGAGGACGAGCGACAAGAAGAGCCAGAGAGATAAACACAACAGGAGGGGTTTAAAGAGCAGATGCATCATAAAAAGGTAAGCACGGAGTAGGAGCTGGAGCCAGCGCCGAGAAGAGGCAATAAAAGGCTGCAGGGCACCGGGAGTGTGCCGGCGCTGATTCACAGCCTCGTTTCTGATGCAACGCCGACTTAAGCACCTCAGTAATGCTCGGGTCCCCCCCCTTGTGTGATTCGTGACATCGCTCCGATCAAAACACAAAACCAGAACCGCACAAAGCAAAAGAACAAGGAGGTGAAGGAGACTATTTTCACGTTCAGGAGTTAAATGTCTGCAGGAGCTTCGAACACGCCCTGCCCCATTTGTTGTAGTTACACACACACACACACACACACACACACACACACACACACACACACACACACACACACACACACACACACACACACACACACACACACACACACACACACACACACACACACACGGACTGCCTGACCTTGGAGCAATGGCAGCGTACCTGAAGGACCCTCTCACAGTCACCTCTGTCCTTCAAACCAGCGTGAGGCGAGCTGGGTTTGTACCTGCATTGGTAATTAATTAACCCCCCATAACACACACACACACACACACACACACACAGAGCCCGGCCTGAGCAGGGAGGAACCGGGAGGATCTGAGGTGCTTCCACGGGGAACAACACAACAACAGCTGGAGCAAACCGCCACGAGTGGACAGACGGCGAGACGCAGCCTCCAACTCCCCTTCACCGCCTCGCTCATCCATCTCACTGGCGTTCCTCTCCGAGGCCTCGTGCACTCGCCGCACAGCATGCACACGACAGAGATGGAGCGAAGCAGAGAAACTGGAAAAGGGGAATCATTAAAGAGTGCAACAAAAGGGAAGGTGGAACGAGGAAGGTGATGATGAGGAGGAGGGGGCGGAGTCAGGGAGGAGTCAGGGAGGAGGATGTACTGGAGACTAGCGGTGGATGGTGCCTGGATTAGTTTAGCTCCAGTAGCAAAAGATCATAAAAACGAGGGGGGGGGGGGGGGGGGATTAGTGCCACTCTAGGAATGACAGAAAAGAGAAGAAAGAGTGGGAGGTTGGAGCGAAGGAGTAACGAGGAGGAGGAGGGAGGTAAAAGACGAGGAGACACAGATCCTGAAATTTAGTCCGGATTAGTTTTGGTTTAGGAAAAGATGAGAAGCAGAGGAACAGAGTGTTGTGTGGAAGTTTTGTTTTAATGAAGGAAGGGTGCAGGTTGTCCGGGTGTGCACGATCCAGGTGAGTCAGGTTAGTGATTCCGGGGGGCTTTGATAAACTGGTGAGGGAATTCCATCGGAAGGTCAGGATGCATTAGCATCTCCCAACCAAACTGCTGTCTGATGCTTTCTAATTAACAACAGCAGGATCATTTGCATATTTTTAAAAAGTCATCAGCTTTCCGTCCAGCAGTAACGCAGCAAACTGCTCCTCGTCTCGCTCCGGAGAGGGAATGACATTTAGGAATTCCTCTGAGATGGATGAAGCCATTTCTCTCCAAGCAAAATCAAACTACAAGACAGAAATATTTGTAGATGTTTGCTGGACAACTCCGCCACGACGTTCCCCTCAACAACAAAAAAAGTGTGTTAGGTCAGTCTGGGAGAGCACAACAAGCCCCCCGCGGATAGCACCGGGATGGGAACTGGGACAGACGTCTCAGACATGCAAGCGCGCGCACACACTACCGCCAACGGTGGCACGCAAAGGCTCATTCAGGAGCACAGAAACACACACACACACACACACACACACACACACCGACATACAGGGATTCCCACAGTGACTGGGCAACATTCCCAACTGGAATGGGCAGCTCACTGAACCGGAAGACTAACATTACTCCAGGCGGCTCTGGATTAGATCAACTCTGGGAATTTCACGCTGAGAAAGAGTGATGAGAGTGGGAGAGAGGGAATGACAAGGAGGAATATTAAATGGGGGAGGAGGGAGAAAGAGAGATGGGGTTAGAGAGAGAATAAGGGAGAAAGAGGGAAAGAGGGGGGAAAGAGCGGGAATGATGGAAAAAGAGAGAAGGTGACAGAGAGTGAGAAAAAAGAGAGAGAGAGAGTGAGGAAGAGAGAGAGAGTGAGGAAGAGAAAGAGAGAGAGAGAGTGAGGAAGAGAAAGAGAGAGAGAGTGAGAAAAAGAGAGAGAGAGTGAGAAAGAGAGAGAGAGAGAAAGAGAGTGAGAAAAAGAGAGAGAGAGAGAGAAAGAGAGAGAGAGAAAGAGAGAAAGAGAACGAGAGGAAGAGAGAGAGAGAGAAAGAGAGAGAGAGAGAAAGAGAGAGAGAGTGAGAGAGAGAAAGAGTGAGAAAGAGAGAAAGAGAGAGAGAGTGAGAGAGAGAAAGAGTGAGAAAGAAAGAGAGAGAGAAAGAGTGAGAAAGAAAGAGAGAGAGGAAGAGAGAGAGAGAGAGAAAGAGAGAGAGAGAGAGAGAGTGAGAGAGAGAAAGAGTGAGAAAGAGAGAAAGAGAGAGAGAGTGAGAGAGAGAAAGAGTGAGAAAGAAAGAGAGAGAGAAAGAGTGAGAAAGAAAGAGAGAGAGAAAGAGAAAGAGAGAGAGAGAGGAAGAGAGAGAGAGAGAAAGAGAGAGAGAGAGAGAGAGAGAGAGAGAGAGAGAGAGAGAGAGAGAGAGAGAGAGGACTCCATCTAATCAGGTTTAAAGGGTTAAGTTTTTTAGAGAATGCCGCGGTGAGCGTGAGTCGTCTAAACTCGCTGCCTTGATGGAAGAGATGTGAGAGGCAGAAGAGAGGAAAAGCATGAAAGGAAGAAGGGATGAAAGGAGGAGTGTACTCACTGGGCTCGCAGCACACTGTGACACGTAACTTCATACATGGCAGAGGAGGGCCTTCATCTGTCGGCAGAGCTGCAGAGAACAAGCAGAAACAAATGGAAATCAGCTCCTTCCTCATCAAACCCCAAAACGGGTTAAATCCAGGATGTCAGGTGGAGAAACACCTGCACAAAAACCCCATTTAGCTCAGACCAGCAGATCACATTCACCCTCAGAGGGCTGCAGCTGCTTCCTTATCAATACCGATCATGGCTCACCTGGGGGCGGGGGGGCGGCTCACACCAGCTGGATTACCTGTCAGGTAAATGCTGCGTTTACACCAACACATTTGTAGGGATGCTGCAGTTAATGTGCTTTAAATGTGAATTATTCACAAACAGCTGCTAACTCAGCAGGGACCAATGCTAGCTGGCTGGAGTTTGTCTCCGTTTTGCCCGTAAACTCAGCTGATAAAGGCGCGAGCAACCCGGGAGGTACTAACAGAGGGGCGGCCGTGGAGGGCGGTGGCTAGAAAATCATGTAAAAACATTAAAAACTGGGGAAATGGCTTTGATGGCGTTGAACGCACTTAAGCATGATCATAACTTCCATTTTAGCATACCTTCCAGCTTTCTGGCACATTTTAAAAATGCTTCACTTGTTGGCTGTGCGGTTACCATACCATACAACTTTATTTGTAAAGCACATTTAAAAACGGCATGGCAGCCGACCAAAGTGTTGTTGTTTATTGTCTTTTTAAGTGAGCTCTGGATTTTGGGTTTCTTTGAACATTTTGGGCCACCATACATTTTCATTTTGTGTTTTTCTTGTGTTCATGAAAAAAGCAGTTTTCCTATAATTACAATAAACGTTGAAAGGTTCAGTGATTAGAATACAATAACGTCCTTGTGGTATTGATCTTTAATGTTATAAAAGTAACTAGTACATGAATAATACTACAAAAACACGTCATCATTTGAGAACTAAAGTGCTAAAAAATCTAACTTCCAATGAATGGTTGTTTTATTCTTGCAGGAGTGGCAGTCATGTGCTTCCCGTACTCGTCAGCATTCACAGTTTTTGACATTTTGAGCTACGATAAACTTTCACTGCCAACATTCACTTTATTGCTTTTAACAATCATGATTTTAACATTTTTCCCAAAATAATGACAAAGCAAATAAAAATTAAAAAAAACACTGAAGAAAATCGTTAGAGTTTACGGACTTTTGAATTTTTATGCTCGTGATTGCCCCCTCAGGCCAAAAGCGTAACAGCAGCTTCAATAGTAGGCTCGTGCACGAGGCGCGCATGCTGTACGTGCACACTCCTTAACGAAAATAACAGCTGAGACAGTCCCGTGTGTGTGTGTGTGTGTGTGTGTGTGTGTGTGTGTGTGTGTGTGTGTGTGTGTGTGTGTGTGTGTGTGTGTGTGTGTGTGTGTGTGGCCCGAAGGACAGAGGACAGGAGAACAGGCAGCTAATTAATTAAATAATGTGGTTCTGTATCTTTCTCTTCAGCACAGCCGACAAAGGTTTATGATGGGTCAGTCCTCCTGCATGCTCAGATCATTCCCTTCCCTTGCTTGAAAAATTGTTCCAAAATGAAAGTTGAACCCACATCTTTTTTATCTGTGAATTCAATGCCGTTCGGTGGGTCTCAAATAAAAATTTGGGCATCTTACTGTAAAAAAAAATACCATTAATGTAAAAAAGAAACTCTAAATAAATTATGTTCACATCCAGAATCAAACCCGGGTCTTCTGCATGGGAGTCAGACATCTTACAAGGTGAGCTACACTCTAGTAACATTCACAGTATCTGTAGCTTTTATATCCTTGATGACAGCTGAAACAACGTCAAACCAAAGAACGGTTCGGAGTGAAAATGGCTGTTTTGTTGCTAATTAGCAGGAAATATCTAGAAGAAAGTTCTACAGAAAGTAGCTAAGGGTCCTCAGAAATGTAGCTAGCTTTGTCACTAGGCGTTAGGAACAGCGACAAAGTGGCACTACCTCTCTCTCTACTGCTAAAGCTACGGATAGCAAATGCTACGGGCGATGCCTGAGCGTGAACGCGCATGAAGCAGCCTGCTCGACCCGAGCATCTCTCTTTTTCTGTGATTTTACAGAAAAACAGGCAATCACAGTAAAAATGCCAGGGCTCATTCTACAGGACCAGGGCATTGCAGGAGAACGTATGAAGAAGACATTTATTATTTCTATACATGTTTTGGCTGTCAAACTTCCATAATGTCCCTTTAAGCCTACAATCATCATCATAATCATCATCATCATCATCATCATCATCATCATCATCAAAGCGTTTCACATCAAATCACAAAAAAAAAACTTGTGTGAAACTTTCAGTAATGACAAATAAAATTTGTATTCATGTTTTCATTGTAAATTTATTTTTCATGTCCATCTTTTGTCAGAAAAAGTTAATTATTTTATCTGTGAACTAACATTTGACATGACAGGTTTCAGGTTTAGGTTAATCACTTGTTTTATCCTCCCATTTGCAGTGATCTCTAGTATAAATGAAGGCCTTGTGAGCAGATCTGAGGAAAAAGCTCTGGCGCTCCGGTTTCAGGAAGTAGATGTTAGCCTGAGGAGTGGGGCGCAGAACATTTCCTGATGTTCTGTCATCTCTCCTCTGATTGGCTAACAGCAACGCGACTCTACCACGGACTCTGGTTGCTCTGAAACGTTGATGTTTCATCTCCACAAATAACACAAGGATGGAGGAGTTCTGCGGTGTGGCGGAGTTGCTAATGCTAACAGTTAGCTTCTACTAGCTGAGACGTTCTCTGCCGTTTCCTGGACGCTAAACCAACAACAGCCTTCCCCGTCGTGAGTCCAGATGGGTGAGTCCATGAATGTTAGTGACAGTGTGACGTAGATCTGTCAGGATTTTCTGATCCTAGAGTTTCACCGTCTACTATTGCAGCTAATGCAGGACGGAGGGTTAGAAGCGCATTTTCATGTTAAGCCTGCATGAAACACTCAGAGTGACTGATTATAATTTAAATGAATGAAAGACAGTGTCTAAGTGAACTTGCTCTTTAAACAACTTGTTTAGTTAAGTCTATGGAAGCACAAGGATAAGAATCTTTAAAACATTCCAGTGACCTGTCATCAGACTCATTATTATGAGTCACTGGCTTTCCTGTAAAGTAAACGTCTGATCCGTTTCAACTTCAGGATGTTTTCTGCTTTTCTTCACGTTCGAGTCAGATAGAAATTCTGCTTAGAGCTTCTAAACAGCCAGACCTGCCGCCTCTCAGAGAAACATCTGCCTTCTCACATTTACCTTCTCAAACTCCGTCTACATGACATCAATCAGTAGGAGCGATGAGCTGCAAGTCGCAGACGTTTCCGACAGTATGTTAGAAGTCATTTTTATGCACTGTAGTAAATATTAAACATCTCTCTGTATCATTTACAACACCTTCACCGCCCGATTTAATACGTCTCCACTGAGCATGCTGCAGTCCATCAGGATGTACCCCTCCATCTTTCCCCTCAACACCATCTTACAGATTACCTGGTTTTTTTTTGAAAATTGTGTAGCGGCATGAAGGTTCTCTGATTTGTGCCAAAGGTCACATTTGCCCAGCTGGGTCAAACAGTACTTTGAATCCACAGATTAAACCCAAGGAGCCACGATGTCTGCTCAAGACCATAACATCATATCTGCTGTTCCGTCCCAGAAGAAGGACACTTCAAGCCACGATGATAATAATTAGATACTAATTAATAAACTCATTGTTTTTTTTACTGTTTAATATAATCATTACAACATGATCACTTGGTTCAATGTAAAGGTATCTTCATTACATGAAAAGGATTATTATGCTTTGGGTATAATAATGATTAATTATAATGGTTATAAAGATGTGTTCAACAGAAGGTCAAGTCACCTAAAGGTTGGTTTATGCTTGACGCGTCCGCAAGGTCCGCACGGCTCCGCGCGGAAAAGTTGCGTCATTTTAACAACCACGCCCCTCCACCGCGTCTCCGCACGGCCCAAGATTTCCGCAACGCGCACCTTGGAAAATTTCTAACCACGCGGACGGAAGGACGCGGAAAAACATGGCGGACCGGCAATAACTAGTATGGCAGAGGTTCGTAAACACAGACGTTTGTATGATTCAGCTCTCAGAGATCACCGTGATCAACATGTAGTTAATAATTTGTGGAGAGAAATAGCTCGCACTGTCGGAAAAGACGAGGACGCTGTTAAAAATGCTGGAATTGCTGGAAATGCTGGAAAAATGCCATGTTGTAAACAGTCATTTCTAATTCTACTACGGTGTAGTGTTGTATGCATGCTGTAGAGCTCCAAGCTGCCCCCTACAGTTTGGGAGAATATTGGCTCACCGCAGAGAAAAGCCGCATGAACCATAAACGCTGCGAGATGTGAAGCGCGTTCCATCTACGAGCCGCATCACCAAGCGGAAAGTGAATGCGTCAAGCATAAACCAAGCTTTATCCAGCCAACACACAGAGTTCAGATAAACAATAACTGCATCACGTTTTTTTGACGCATGAGCAAGCTTTCTTCCGGAGAGAGAGTGGGAGTGGTTCTGAGAGAGTTTGGTAAGACTAACCATCACAGATTTCACGTCCAGTTCGGAACAAGACGTCATCCTGAGGAGTCAGGGACGGCCGCCCTGAACCTCCGCCAAGCCGTTCTGTCATGCCGACAAGAACGGCTAAAGAACGAAAGAAACTAACGAAGACTCTACCAGAGTCATTGGTTTCTGAAGTTAAGTTAAATACGAGAACGTTCATCTGCCAAACGCTTCGTATACCGTGTACCCAGGACATCTCTGGACCGGACGATCGGACACTTGCGTCTCCTCTACCAGCCGAAGCGTCATCTGGGATGAAACCCATCCTCCTGATGTCCGGATCCACATCCTGTTTGGGTGCGGTAGAACACGACAGATGACGTTTGATGCCGTTTCTCTCAAAATAACTCAGTTATCCGCAAAACATCATTTTCACCCAGAACGCTTTCATTCTCTCTGAAAGGAACCTGAGAACTTCGTTCACACATCCAAAACGCAACATTCTCATTTTTAGCTCCATTCAGTCACAGGTTTGTGTTAAACAAAGTTTAACATCAAAACTGTTAAAGATTGTCATTAAAATTGCCATCCATGAATTGTCATTTTATAATTGTCGTTTCAAATCCTTAGTTTAAAATTGTTGGTAATAACATGTCTTCATTTTTAAACTTGCCTCATTATTGAAACGAAACACAGAAAAGGGTTGCATTTCCATTTATCGAATGAAAAGAATCTTACTGAATCTTCTGTTTAATAAATAAACTTTTGCTATTAATTTAAGTATCTTAAATTAATGTTCACCCCATTACAATTGCATGTAGTAATATCTGAAACTCTGTAAAGATCAAATATTAGACACATTAGTTTTCGGTTTAAGAGTCCCACAAAGCCACAGTAACGAGGCATCAGGACCTGAAGATGAGCTGAGAGGTTCCTAAAGCAAATGTCCCCCGGTACATACACACCTCTTATTAAACTCACGGTGAGTGGCTATCCAAGAGAATATTACTGTAGTATATTCAAAACCACACTAACCAGTGCACACGCGTGTGTGTGTGCACAAGTGTGTGTGTCCATCATTGCTCATAAGTCTAGTTAGCGGACCTTTTCCCATGAAAGAACACACATCATGAATTTAAAATGACTTTCAGTACTAGTACTGTTTTTTAAGATATATTTTTTGTTCTTATGAAGCACCTCGTGGTTTTTTAATCTTGAGAGGAGCTATATAAAAAATAATTTCTTCTTCTAGCCTTCCGTGATCTTAAAAGCATAGTTCATTAGTTTCATGTCATCTGATAAAAAATAGCTAGCTGGGAAAAAAAAAAGAAAGAAAAAAGAAAAAAAGTGAAAAAATAAACGAACAAAGAAACTAAAAAGAAAGAAAAAAGAAAGAAAAAAGAAAAAAAGAAAAAAGAAAACAATCTAATATCGCCTCTCAAGATAAAAATGTCAAGGTGCTTCATAAAAACAAAAAAAAAGTGTAAGTTTAAAAAATAAAAAATAAATGACTAAAATATGTTTAATATGTGAAAAAACTTTTAATTGTGATTAAAAACGAAGAAAAGGGAAAGAGAAAATTAAAAGGAAGGAGGGAAATCCAGTAATATTCATTGTTTTTAGATTAAAGGTGTAGAACACTGAAAAATATGAAACGGGTCACTGAGTTTTCATGCAGGCTGAACATGAAACTAGTCTCCTACACCTATCTCCTGCATTACATTCATGGACCCACCCATCTGGACTCACGACGGGGAAGGCTGTTGTTGGTTTAGCTTCCAGGAAACAGCAGAGAACGTCTCAGCTAGTAGAGCTAACTGTTAGCATTAGCTGCTCCACCACACAGCAGAGCTCCTCCAGGCTTGTGTCATTTGTGGAGATAAAACATCAATGTAAATAGAGTCAGTGTCAGAGTCATGTTGCTGTTAGCCAATCAGAGGAGAGATGTCCAGATATCAGGAAATAAGACTAAAACCTGTCTGAAGCTCAGCTGGGATGTAGTTTCCTTCTAGTTCCTGAAACTGGTGCACCAGTGTCCAAAACGGTTGATTACCATCTACTTTTTAAAATTCATCCTCTTACATGTCAGCTGATTGTGTGCAACGTGTCTTCTGGACAATGTGTTTTTCAGATGCTGCACACAGAAATGATGACAGATGATCCATTAATGAGCCTGTTTGTGTCGGTTTGCATTTGCTGAGCTGGCGCTGCTCTCCGCTGAACGGCTCCACGTTAAAAGCAGCTGACTATCAGGGCATCTCAAGGTGTTTCCTGTTCACAGCGACCCAGACATGCAGGACGTGTCGGGGCAGGGCGTGGCGGGGACGTGGGTGGAAAGTGTCATGGAGGACGGAGCAGAGCTGAGCTCAGCCCCGGCTGAACAAACCAACACCATTAGTGTTGCTAAGACTATTGTTCTGTTCTCCCAGGCTAACGCCATTATGCAGCGTCCCGGGCTGCAGGCCCGTTCTGAGCCCAGAGCCCAGAGCCCGACATTTGGACCAACTTTACGCCTAATCTTTGATGTGGACAAAACACACATAATCGCTCTGAGCCTGCTGCGGCCAGATCAGGAGGGGGGGTTGCGATCTATTGTTGCTTTTCCCACAAAAGACCACTGAGCATGTGTGTGTGTGTGTGTGTGTATGGGGGGGTCCACACTCTCTCATGCCTCCACAATGCTCCATTGTCCCCAAACCTCAACAGTAATTTATGTAAAGAGTCTGTCTCGTCCTTTCGAGTCAGCCATCCCTCTCGTCCATCGCTTTTGTTGTCCATTTGTCCCTCATCCCCTCTCGTCCTGTAGTGTCAGACCGGCTCCGTCTTCCAGGCTTCTATACCTGCCTGCTTTTTTCTCCCCCAGGGTTGTCCCGCACTGATCCCCACTTCTTCCTCCGGCATGTTTCCTTCCCTTCACCTCTGTTGACGCTCACATCTCTCATTCCCTGCCTTGCTGTCTCATGTGCTCCTCTTCCTGGTCTGACACCAAAAGTTTTAAAAACAAAACAAAACTGCATCGTGTGTGTGTGTGTGTGTGTGTGTGTGTGTGTGTGTGTGTGTGTGTGTGTCCCTCCTCTTACTGAAATATAATATAAGTGAGGAGCACAGGGGGGGTGTAATGGAGAAAGCATAACACATAGCACCCCACAGGTTTATTATTACTTATGAAATTAATGCCGTTTTGCATAAAATTGTAGAAAAACATTAATTGGAAAAGCAGCGGTTTGCCGACACCAGAGAACAAAATCACATAAAAAAGCCGGCTGTAAGGAGCCTGAAAGGAAAACGGACGGTATCACTTGAGAAGAAAGACTCTACGATGCTCATAAAATGACAAGATGAAGGTATTTGCATGATAAAAACACCCACTTTTCTGTCACATCAGCTTGTACCAACAGCTGAGCAACAAACCTCTCAGCCGTCAGCAGCAGAGCGGAAATGTTCTGAAACGACCCGTTAGTCGTTCCACTAAATATTTACAGCCGCAACTTTACGATCAGCTCACGACGACTACAGCTGATCATCACCAACAAACAGTTCAGGTCCTCAAATTTAAAAGGTTATGAATTCATTTCCTGCTGCCTCTTTGAACGACTCGATTTCGGACAAATACTTTAATCATAAAAAACTGATATGCTAACGGCTAGGGCCAAGATCAGAAGGGATTACTACCACCTTAAAAAACACTCTTTTATACTCCTTTATATCACTGCCGTTTTATCATTAAAAGTCATGTGTGTTGCTTGATCGTAGTAACATTAACAAAGTAATTACTATTATAATTAGTAATGCAACTACATATGTATTACTAATGTAACTAAATTACTAAAGTAACTACTAATATATTCATGTAAATACCTAATTGCAGGGCTGTGCAGTGGCGCAGTGGTTAGAGCTGTTGCCTTGCAGCAAGAAGGTCCTGGGTTCGCTTCCCAGCCTGGGATCTTTCTGCATGGAGTTAGCATGTTCTCCCTGTGCATGCGTGGGTTCTCTCCAGCTTCCTCCCACAGTCCAAAAACATGGCTGTTAGGTTGACTGGTCTGTCTAAATTATCCTTATGTGTGAGTGTGTGTGTGTGTGTGTGTGTGTGTGTGTGCGTGATTGTTTGTCCTGTGTGTCTCTGTGTTGCCCTGCGATGGACTGGCTCTCTGTCCAGGGTGTACCCTGCCTGATTGCCCGTTGACCGCTGGAGATAGGCACCAGGCACCAGCCCCCCCCCCCCCCGCGACCCTGAGTGGGCGAAGCAGGTTCAAATGAGTGGATGGATACCTAATTGCAAAAGTAACTACTAATATAATAATGTAACTACCTAATTGCTAAAGTAACTACTAATATTAATGTAACTACTTAATTACTAAAGTAAATACTAATATATTAATGTAACTACCTAATTACTAAAGTAACTACTAAGATGTTAATGTAACTACCTAATTACTTAAGTGACTACTGATATATTGATGTAACTACTTTACTACTAATGTAACTAATGTATTATAAATGTAACTACTAATATAGTAATGTAATTACCTAATCACTAAAGTAACTACTAATCTATTAATGTAACTACTTAACTACTAATGTAACTAATGTATTATAAATCTAACTACTAATATAGTAATGTAACTACTTAACTACTAAAGTAACTACTAATATATTAATGTCATTACCTTATTACTAAAGTAACTACTGGTATATTAACGTAACTACTTAACTACTAATATAATTACTTATCTACTGATGTAACTACTGATGTATTACCAATGTATATACTCTTGTAATACTAATATTACTATAGTAGTAAAGTAGTAAAAGTGGGTCATGCTTTTGCATTAACTGTGCAACAGTCAGCTTTTCTCTTGGACCCGGTCAGATTGGATCATTTGCTCGTCAGTCTGTCACAATTAAACTGTACTGAACTTCTCGACCCTCCTCCACCTCCACCCACAGCTCCATCCTACTCACAGCTGTAGTAGTAGTGTCTTCCTGGCAGAAACTCAAACCCCAGTGAGAAGGGGGTGAACCTTTGGATCTTCTCAGAGAAGCGCACCGGTCCAAATGGAGCAAAGGGCGTGTTACACTCCCACCTCTTGATGGCCCCTTTGGTCTCCACGCAGCCTTTGAAGGACTCTTCGCCCACCAGGTAGAGGGCCAGGGACTCCGGCTGCTCTGGAACGGGGGCCCCCGTGGCCAAATAGTGGGGACAGTAGACGTCCAGGTAATCATTGAGATTCATTTGGATGGATAGATCTCCTGCTGTTAACCTGGAAGGAAGAGTGACAGGAACTTTAATTATTCAAGAGACAATTACTGACAAACACCAGAACAAAGTGATTAAACACAACGAGCGCCTGGAGGAGCCCGATGGACGGGTCATCAATAACGCAATTACTGCTGGTGATGAAAAAGTTTGAGCAAGTCTTCATGGATCACAACTTCCATTTTGCTCTGAGAGCAAAAGGAGGGAGCCTTGTGGAGCGACAACGATGCTTCATATGCTAATGAACACCGCAGAGAGGAGACGAGCGTAAAATAAACTCCACTCCCTCTGCTTTTCACCTCCTGCTGCACAACCCAGGCGCAAACCCAAGAAAACGTGCACGTGCACACACAGCAGCGCCGGTCGAGCTCGGCTGGCTTTTGGCATGACAACAACTTTGGACAAGACGGCATCATTAGAACAGAAGAGCTGTATAACGCATGGCGTCTCTCTCAGACGGAGGATTCCGACTTGCCGTCAGCTGGAGTAGAAAGAGTTATCCATGTATGAAGTAAAGAGAAGAAAGAAGTAAACACGATGACACGAAGAACTTGTGGGGAGAGCAAAACGAAACGTTTTAGGAGAAACACGTTTGAGATGAGAAACAAACGTGAGAAAGTGAAAACTAAAGGAAAAAGTTGGATGAATAAGTGAACAACGTGGAGTAAAAAGGAAAGAGAGTGTTTTAATTAGTGACCTCGGAGAGTCCGAGAGCAGACGCACAGAGAGGAGGACGGCGGAGCGAAGGAGGAGAGGAGACGGACTTTAATTGGGCTCCGCTTCTCACAGAGCAGCGAGAGGGAAGAGTGAGGAGCAGAATGTGGCTCAGGCCCATCAGAGGGAGTCTTTATCCAGGGGCGACAGACCGGAGGAGAGAGGAAAAGGCTGCTGAGACTCAGCCAAGAGGAACATGGGAGGGGAAGAGAGGTGGAGGTGGTGGTGCGCAGCAGATCAGTCTCAAGTTAAGTAGGCAAAGAAGAGACCAAAGAAATAAATAGCAGGAAAAACGAGAGAAAGAGGAGGAGGAGGAGGAGGAGGAGGAGAGCAGATCAAAACAGAAATGGAGAGACACGACAGGAAGCAGGAGTCTGTGATGGTCCAGCAAATCTGCAGAGTAGATCAAAGATGGATGGAGCGATGCGTGGAGGCATGGGGGGGGGGGGGGGGGGGGGGGGACCACGACTTCAAAATATTAAAATATTAAAGCCTAGCATGAAGGAACACGCCTAACGAGTCAGATCAAGTCATTCAGCACTTGGAGACCATCACCATCAGCTGTTACCATGCGGGGCTTCAGCCCAGTAGCAGCTCTAGCTAATGTCCATTAGCTGTGGCGGCCATCTTGGATGTTAATCAGATCCAGATAACGGTCACACACACACACACGTGCACACACACACACGTGCACACACACACACGTGCACACACACACACGTGCACACACACACACGTGCACACACACACACGTGCACACACACACACACACACACGTACACACACACACACACACGTGCACACACACACACACACACACACACACACACACACACACACACACACACACACACACACACACACACACACACGCACACACACACACACACACTCTAGCTTTCTGCGAGAGGTAATAATGACTCAAACAGACCTCGCTGCTCACCGACACTGTAGCTGTGACGCTGCGCAGTGGAGTGTGTGTTTCTTGGTGAGATCGCGCAGAAGAGTGAAGGTGTGTGTTGGAGACGGCGGTGAGACCCTGAAGAGGAGGCTGCTTCCTGCTCAACAGAGCTGGAACTGATGATCCATCAAATGGACAGGACTTCATCGATCAGGACACAAACGCACACCCTCTCATGATCAATATCCCAGCTCTCAGTGTGTGTGTGTGTGTGTGTGTGTGTGTGTGAGTGTGTGCTGCCATGAACAATGTCTCCATTACCTGTGAGCACTAATTACAGCAGAAAAAGTGTTCGGGTTGCCCTGAAGCCTGTGAGAACACACTGTGGTGCACAAACACGGTCCTTTTCTCCTCCACCACCACCTGTGGTGCTTTTAAAACACCGCTGGAGCGGAGCGGCGGTTCCCGTTGAAGAGTGCGAGCGTGCATTCAATAACAGACTCATGCTGCTTCAATATGCTGCACTCCCAGCTACAGATGTCACTCACCTGAAGACTCCAAAAAACACATACTCCAACTCCTCCCTCGTCTCTCCCCCACTTCGGATGACACACACTCATCCCCCATCTGCTGCTTTCAGAGCACATCCTGCACTACCTGACCCCTCACCTCCCACAAACCCCCTCCCCTCAGACTGTGCCGTATGCACACCAGCAATTACAGAGTTGGTGCGTTGTACCAATGTCAAACTGTCATCCCTCTTTTCCCTTCCCCTTCCTCCTCTTCGGCCCTGGTAGGCTTGGGTATGCCCTAATTACACCCAGCATCCTCCCCTCCTGCCAGACACAGAGCAGCAGAGCGGTGACAGCAGAGGGGCACCATGGGAGCACTGAGAAGCTG